CTCATGTTTTCAAAATCTCATTTGAGTCTTAAAAGAACCTCAACTGTTGGTGTATGCCTTAATCATGTATAAGTTATGTGAGTTTGATTGTGTCAAGTCATGTTGATAGGTTAAATTCATTTCTTTCTAAGAGCTTATTTGTATTTAAGGTTCAGTTATGAGAATGTGTTGTGTGTGCTGGTGTGTTATGGTCTGCTTCAGTGTTGTGTGCAGGTGTGTGTTAGCATGAAATGGACTGCTTTTTTGTTGTGTTTGTGCTGTGGTTATGATAGAAATGTTGACCTGTAGCAATAGGTCATTTAAGGATTTTTACTGCTCTTTCTCATTCAAAATTGCCTGCTGTTTTGTTTTTTCCTTCTTGTGTTTTTGGTTGGATTTCATTACACTAGTGTTGGTCTTGGTGGGAATGTGTCCATTTTGTAATCTTTGGGTACTGTGATCAATTGGGTCGTATGCTGCCAGTTTCAGAGGTGTAGTGATTGAGTATGCCATTAAGTGTTATCTCATATTGGTCTTGAAATCAGGTAATGCTGCTGTTTGTTTTGTGGAGCACTGCACTCATTTCATGTTTAAAAGCTTCATGTGTAGCAAAGTGTAATGTGTGTGTCTTAATGTGATGGACTGTTTTTTTTTTCTGTGTGTGAGTTGTGTTCATGATGGATATGCTGATCTATGACAGCAAGCCTTAATAATTGGTTACTCTGCCTCATCAAAATTGGTTGTTTGTTGCTGTTATTTCTTTTGGTGTCATTACATATCAATTTCAGTCTTTGTGACTATATGTTCCCTTGGTGTTCTGTTTGGATGTGGTGAACATTTGGTTTGTTTGTTTTGATGTATCTGCTGCATAACCTCAATGGTGTATTGAATGAGTATGCTGTAAGCTTTGTTTTCATGTTGGTCTTAAATGGTATGCTGCTGTTGTTTGCTAATCTGCAATATCCATGATTGAAATCTACAGCATTAGCAAGATACTTGTTTTGAATATTGTGTTTGAGTTGAACCAGATTTTTGTTGATTGTTGGTTTGATAGTTTGTTGTCATGCTGTTTCTTGTTGTTTGATGCTTAAGACATAGGTCACATGTTTGCCACAACAGGTTTTAATTTGATCAAGCCTCAGACTGGACTTTGTTACTCACATTCTCGTTTACACTTAATCATACTTCCTACACTTCATGGCACTCACTTGCAGCATGTTGGCATACTGTTTTGAATGAGAAATTTGACACATCACATACCTATTTTTGAATTGCTCAAGCGGTTGACACACTTGCATATGCTGATCCAAATTGGGAAACATTGATCATCTTGGTCTCTTTTGTGTTATAACAGTTCAGGATAGTCATTTATAACATGTATAAATGAACCAAAGCTTTGAATCTAATTTGAACATCAATTTGCAGCATCTCATGCACCAATGTACACTAAGTTGCAATTTCAAAGCCAAACCCTCACACTTTGATTCCAGTTCTGATTTGCACTTATACACACACTTGTTATCATCTATTGAAAATGTTTGATTGGTTAGTATGGTATTTATTTGCTTAGGATATTAAAACCATGTTGTCATGCATCACTAATCATTTGTACATATGCAATTCCATGTCCACTTCATGACTTGTTGGAAAGTTGAGATTATTCTTTGAATTTTATCCATGATTATTATCTCTTGAACATGATGGAACCCCTGTTTGAAAACATTCGCATCAGTCTTAGCTTCTAGAGTCCTTGTTGCATTCCAAAAAGCTATCTTGCATTTGCTCTCGTATTTTATTTTACAAGCTTCATTTGAATATTTAGATAGCACCATCTTGTTCCTCTCGGAAAAACATGCGAAATGGACTCAAAGTTTGCTCAATTCCATGGAGTTTTGACCTGTTTTCATTTGCTTTTGCTTGTTTCTTTTCTTGCTTTATTTTGGCCCAACAATCATTAAATGTTTACTATGTATATTATCTGTTTCACTTTAAATATTGGAAGTATCACCGCCCCAGCGGTAGACCATGCGCCTTGTAATCTTGTGTACCCTGGTTCGAGTCCTGCTGTGGACAAAACCATTCTTTTTATCTTTCTTTTTCTTCCTTTCTTTACATCCTTAATTTTTCTCTTTTATGTTTCTTTTCCTCTTCCATGTTACCACGCGCGTGTGCGCCCCAGTGGATAAGGATTGTTGGTTGTGAACCAAAGGAGGTGGGTTCAACTCCCACCTCTTGCTTTTTTTTACAAGTTCATTTATTTATTTTCTTTTTTTGTCTTAACCACACAATTTCCAAACTTTATAACTTTTGCATGTTGGATTATTTTTTTTGATCCTTTCTTTTTGCCAATTATTTATGATAATGACTATTCTCTTTTTATTTTATTTAATAAAGTAATGTTTCATTTTTTTAAGACCCCTTGGCTTGCTTGGAGGTTGACCCTCTGTTAGGTTTTTGTTCACCTTGTATTATAAACTTTTCTCACCATCTTGTATTTCGTCGTATTGAATTAAAAATGGAGGATTGTGTGTAGTCCCCTTCTTTTTTCGAGTGTTAGGATGCCCACTGTAGTGAGGGTAATTTCGACACTCATCTTTCAATACGAAGACGCTTCTAAACTTTTCCTCCTAAAGCCTCGGTCCCGTACCGAGCACACTTTCAATAATAAACTAATTTCTATTTGTATTGAATTAAAAAGAGAGGATTAGGTGTAGACCTCTTCCTCTCCGAATGCTGGGATGCCCACTGTAGTGAGGGTGGTCTTGATATTCGTCTTTCAATACGAAGACGCGACTTTATCCACCATCTCGCTTTCACAACTTCCTTCCATAATTTTCACACCTAAAACCTCGGTCCTGTACCGAGTGCATTTTCAATTTATTTTCACAACAAAAACTTGAATGGTCGTGGAGTGGTTAGGCGTAGGCCTTCTCCCATCCCGAGTGCTGACGTTTACCGTAGGGTTCTCTGTCGCAAAGCACTTACCATTCAGAACCAAAAACATCTTTAATAAGAGAACGAAACTCTCTTTATGTTGAATTAAAGAAAGAGGATTAGGTGTAGACCTATTCTTCTCCGAGCGTTGGGATGCCCACTGTAGTGAGGATGGTTTCGACGCTCGTCTTTCAATATGAAGACGCCTCGTTCGCCACACCTTTTCATAACAAAAACTTTGAAATAATGAATTGGGTACTATCCGTAGGGGTTACTATCCGAGGACCTGTCTCGCCCCCTAAAAAACAATCCAATCAATCAAACGTGACTTCTTGCCTCGCATGGCGAAAACTAATCAACCTTTCAAACAGGATATGTTACGTTCGTTCTACCGCAAACAGGTAATGCCTAAGTCTCCAACGAGCGAGCAGCAAAACACCTAACTGCTAGAATGCGCACGATAGCATCATCCGTAAAGACATCAATACACTGTTAGCACGAACTACGTTTTGCTCTGATTTCTCATGTCAGATAAGAATACGTAGGCACAAGACGATGATGTCTTGGCGAGCTTCTTTTTTCACCTTTCACCCGTAGTTGGCCGAACTACGGCTGCTCTGATTTCTCATACCAGATGAGAATACGTAGGCACAAGACGGCGATGTCTTGGCGAGCACCTTCCCCCCATATTTGTAGTTCCCCGAACTACGTCGACTCTGACTTTCTCACATCTATTGAGAATACGTAGGCATAGGACTGCGAAGTCCTACCGAGTCTGTTCTTTCTCTTTTCCGTTTTCTCTCTCTTCTCTCCCGTTACCTCTCTTTTCCTGTTTCTAATCCTTCTTTTACCCTGTGGAACACTTTTATAGCATAATATTTAAGCAGATAAATTCACATATCGACAAACAAAAGGTTCCCATCGAGTACGATGGATGCGAGGGGTGCTAATACCTTCCCTTCGCATAACCGGCTTCCGAACCCGTTCTTGGTTGCGATACCATCTTATCCGTTCGTTTCTTAAGGTTTTCTCGATATTTTCCTTTCCCCTCATGGGATAAATAAAGTTCGGTGGCGACTCTTCTGTCCTTTCTTTTCGCCTACCCGTCGTTGCACGATGCATTTTTCGAGTAGCGACAATCCTCATTAAAAGAAATAAAAGAGAGATCAACCTCATAGTGTCATTTGAAAGAACGACCACAATAAAAAAACAATTTGTTGACGAGTCTACATCTAATAAAGGATTTTAAGAGGCATCATTCAGTAGAAGATATGAAGAATATTCATCCAATAGAAGGTGTGAAAAAGCTTAATCTAGTAGAAATTATGAAGAAACTTCAACAAGAATAATTTTTTAAAGATCGGAAAAACAAAATGTGTGGATACTCTTCACGTGAATATGATACAATTTTAAAAAAATAACTCATGAAAATATGTCTTCGCCAATATTCTCGATGATACATCAGAAGATTCTCATAAAGTATATTCTCATAGAAAAAAAACGGATAAAAAAGAGTATAAGTGCTTCAAAGTCTTAAGAAAAGACGACAACATATAACAACTCTAACATATAATCAAATATTTAAATTAAGTGTTAAACTCAGTAAAAATAATGAAAAATTAGAAAACAACATCGTCGATTTTAAAGAGTAAATTGAATTTTTTAAAAATAACAATAAAAGTTTTGGTGAAGAACTAGCTAGTATCAAAAATGAATCTTTAAAACTAGAAAAATATGAAACATGCAGATTTTTGAAAATTGAGGTAACTAGTTTTGCATGAAACCTTATGATAAATGTCCATGTAGGTCCTCTAATATATGTAATACTAAGCATTTTTCTTATTAAAAAAACATTTCCTTAAAAAAAAACTAGTATGGTCACTAGATCATCACAAACCAAAGAAAATCAAACTTCATATATAGAATAGGCAAAGTAGCCAAAAATTACACACAAACATACTTCTAGCTAATTCACTAAAACTCTCTCTAGAAAGAAAATCAAAATCATTCATAGCTAGGTATACATCAATGAATTTCCCTCTCATGCATTATTTTACAACAACAAAAAAAGAAAGAAAATGAAAAACTCATGTGGCTCTAACAAGTGGTGAATGAGGAGAGATGATTATGTGATTATGAGGTGACAAAACATTCTCATCAAACCTCCTTGAAGTGAAACTAAGCCTTAAATTTGGTTGCCAACGTTTGACTTGTTCAACTTTCTTCTTTGTTTCTTTCCCTATAAACACTCTTATTCTTTTCAATGCAACTTCCACCGTTTCATCATCAATATTAGCAAAACAAACTCTAAACCAACCAACCTCAGAGCAATTAAAAGAAGACCCTGGTGATACATTAAGCTTAACCTCGTTAATAATCACATGCCAAAGCTTCAACTCTTCTTCTATTGTTTCCTCTTTGAGCAAACTCTTCAAGTTCATCCAACAGAATAGTCCCGCATTACTTGGAAATCGACTGATCTTAACCTCTTCGAGTCCCTTCGTAAATTTCTCATGCCTTTTCGCCAACCTTCTCGAACTCTCCAAGAGAAAATTCTCAACAAATTTTTCATCACAAAGCATTGAAGCGAGCATGTGTTGAGTTTGAGATGAAACTAATCCGAAACTCGACATTTTCCTTCCACAACTCACAACTTGATCATTGTATGAATAAACTATCCCAACCCGAAAACCGGGAAACCCTAAATCCTTTGATAAACTATAAATAATGTGAATGAGATCAAGGTTACACTTCATCTCTTGTATGACTTCACTAACACTTACATAGGTTGGTGAAGTGAAAACCGTGGCGGCATAGATTTCATCACAAACTAAATGGATTGTTTTCTCATTGATGAAAGACACAATACTCTTTAGGGTTTCTTTGTCTAGGGTTGTGCCTAATGGGTTGGAAGGGTTTGTTATGATCAAACCTTTTACATTGATGTTGTTTTCTTTTGCTTTTTTGTATGCTATTTCAAGTGCTTCTCTTGTTATCTTGAAATTGTTGGAACTATCACAATGGACAGGAATTAATTGAACCTTAGTTCTCCAACATAAGTCACGAATGAACCTGTAGTAAAATATGAGTTAAATTCATCACAAACATGTGTCTAATTATTATTAATAAATTTTAGTATGATATATTCAAATAAATCGGAATAAAACTATAATATATTCAAATGATTCAGAATAAAAATTATTTTTTTAAAAATTTTAATAAAATAATTTTTTTAATATTATAAAAATTATTTTTAACTAGGGTTTTCAATTATTTTTAAATATTTTCTAAATTCATTTTCTCTTTAAATACAAGGTGACCCTACACAAAAAGTTGTTTATGGTTTTGAGTGTAAACCATACTCTCTCATATATCACTTTCTTACGATTCTCCAATAGTCAAGCTTTTCACTTTCTCTTTATTCTCTCTCTCACCTATATTTCTTTTGTCCATATGATTTTGGTTTTCAAATTTAGGTCAATGGTTAATCAATTACTACTTGGTTACGAGTCATCAATTTTTTTTAGTACCAGTATCCGGTCTACTAGACGTCTAATCTGATTCGGAGACAGTTTTAGTATTAAGTGATTTTAATCTTTTCTCAATCGCAGTTGTAGAAAATCGAACTGTAATCATCCCTATTAAATTCAGCGTCAATTATCACTGAACCAACTAACTATTAGTATATATATATATATATATATATATATATATATATATATATATATATATATATATATATATATATATATATATATATATATATATATATATATATATATATATATATATATATATATATATATATATATATATATATATATATATATATATATATATATATATATATATATATATATATATATATATATATATATATATATATATATATATATATATATATATATATATATATATATATATATATATATATATATATATATATATATATATATATATATATATATATATATATATATATATATATATATATATATATATATATATATATATATATATATATATATATATATATATAGCAAACATACACTTCTGGACTAATCACACTATTGGAAAATTAATTATAATTAATTATTCTTCTTTGTTTAATGTAGATGTAATATTTTTTAGACTCATAAGCTTGACCTAACTTACCATATCATGTTTGAACTTTTGTGTTTATTTATATTCTATTGGATAAGTGATTTTACCATATAAAAAATGTGGAGAATCATAAATGAGGAGCTATAGGGTGACACCTCACTTAGATAGAAAACTAAACAATATTTTATTTTAGTTTTATATGGAGAGGTAAACAAAGTTAAACTAATATAATACAACTAAAATATAAGAATGTGATTTATAACGAACCTTAGTTTTTAAATTATTATCGATATTGTATAAATAGAACTAGGAGTACATGTTTTTAAATAAATATTTTTAAACAAATCTCAATATAATAGTTTAAGACCTAACATAGTAGCTACAAGTATAACTTTTTCTATACCTATTTTTTCTTTTCCATTTTTGAACATTTGATAGGTGAGTGAAATAGTTCCATAGATATATATACAATGAATAACACACAAATAATGAAAAGATAGAAGGGTACATACCCTGGATAGTAAGGAGTAGGAACTAAAAAAGCATCTCCTTCATCTGCCAAGCAAAACATTATCAACTCATTTGCTCCTGTTGCCCCTCCACTCATCAATATTCTGTTTGGATCAAATCTTACTCTTCCACCTCTCACTTTTGACATAAATTTTGCTATAGCCTAAAAAAAATAACAATAATAATTTAGTATAATCAATATACAAAATATATATGATTGAGAAAAAAATGGTTTTACTTACACTTGTAAACTCTGGCAAACCATGATAGTCTTGAAAGTTTGCAATATCTCTGAATTTATGCATTCCTTCAAGAGTGCAAATGGATGCCTTGGGATTATTCTTTATCCATTCTTCAATCAGATCAAAACATAGCTGAAAATAATAAATAGAAAAATTAATTAATTAACTAAATTAAAAATAATAATGAACTATGAGGGTTTGTAATATAATATATATATACCTGATTTTCAGCAAGACCCATTTGGATTACACCATGAGGATTTTTTGTAGGATGAAATGGATTATTTTCATAAGCTTTCCATCCATGAAAATATGGAGAATTTTCTCCATGTTGATCATTGGTTGCAATCTTGGACAAAAGTTGATAGCTTTCACTTGCCATGTTTAGTAGTTTTCTTGAAGGAATAAAATATAATTAAGGTCACTCTAATTTGAGCTAGGTGCAATAAGGTGGATCAATAAGCTACCTTTCTTAGAATAACAATTTTGTGGAAAATGAGAGAGAATGTTGGGTGATTTATAGGGATATGCCAAGTTGAACAAGTCAATTTCCAACTTCAAAACCAAAAGAAGATTGAAAAAATATATATAAAAAAATAATTTAATATTTATTATAAGGGTTGGAATTAATGGATATGTATGTTGGTCAATGCAACAAATTTCTTGCGTGTATTAATATAATTTCTATAATTTGTCACGTGTGAAAAGAGGCACGTGTAAGAAAGTGGTTAAGAGAAATAAAGGATTTTCATTTATGCAAACTTACTTAGGTTGCACTTATGTTAGGTATTTGTTCTTTCAATGAAGAAAATTAGTTAACATGAAATATATAAAAGGAATTGTTGTGCCGCAAATATGTTGCTTTAGGAAATGCATGCTTATAGAGAGTCCAATGCACTTAAAAAACAGCTAGAACATATCCATTATATAGGTATATGATGATATGCATTGTCATATATTAAACAAGTTTAATTATTTTTTATGTGTAAATAAGTTATATATGTTGTCATGGTAATGGAAATGTCAAAAGAAACAAATTATTTGATAAGACTTATTATCATTCTTTGATAATTATATTAGAATCATCATGTAAAATGATGCATTTGATGTTTAGTCTAAGTATTTTAATTTACAAATATAAATATATGTATTAGTATGTCTTTATAATAACTTTTTGACATAAGTAATAATATGGTGTGAATGTAAATCCATGCAAATGTTTAATAGATTGTATTCATACATATAATGGTAAATATATGGCAATTATAAAAAAAAAATATTGGGTACATGTTTGATATTGAAACAAAATACCACCTTAAATTAATGTTTTTTTTTGTCTAAATACTTGATGTTAATTGAGTATTAGTATTTGATGTAAATAGTTCTTTTTTAAGTTAAATCTAACATATGTATTGGAAAATTTGATTTTTTTTTCTCTTAAAGTTTTTATAAAATTGAAAGAAAGACATTAACATTGTTCTTGGATCTAAAAATTGAATAAAGATGATCAAATATGAAAAATGATTTAATGTGTATTACTTAAGAGCGTTTAATCATGTTTTAATGGAAAAATGGTGTTAAAGGTTGAAGGGTGATATAGAGGTTTATCATTTAAGATGTTGTCTCAAAAATATGGATTAGACCAAGGTATTTTGTATGGAAGGTCTAGTAGAGATTATGTTGGTGGAGAAATTTATGAACCATTAGCTAATTTTTTTCTAGACTATAGTTTAAGGAGATTTGGATTTGATGTGTGGTGGAAGGTGAGGATTAGGTAATTTTTTGGGAAGCCTCTCAGTTTTAGTAAATGGTTGTACGACCAAGGAGATTAATATCCATAGAGGTTTGAAGCAGAGGATCTCTTGACGCCTTTCTTGTTTATGTTGGTGGTGGAGGGCTTGAGTGCAACCATGAGGAATGCATCTTAGCTGAGCATTTTTTCTGAGTTTCTGGTAAGGGATGAATGTTTAGTGGTATCACACCTCTAGTATGTTGATGATATATTTGTTGTGAGTGGAGCTTCAATTGCGAAGGTTTGGGCAGTTAAGATTTCCCTTATGAGCTTTAAGATGGCCTCTACGTTAATAGCAGACTTCTCCAAAATATTCCTCTTTGGTATTAATGTGGAGGGCTTTTTCATGATTTGGTGGAGAATTTTCAACATTGTATAGTGGGTTATCTACCTTTCAAGTATCTTGGTGTTTTGGTTGGGGTGAAACCTAGAAATGATCAGTCTACTTATGAGCCTCTAATTAGGCTTATCTCCTTTATATTAGGTTCGTGGATGAATATGTTTATTATCCTTGGCGATATGGTGGTTCTTCTTAATGCAATTTTGAATGTGATCCATGTATATTTCTTTTCCTTCATGAAGATGTTTGTCTCGGTTTATAGAAAGATTGTTTGCTTACAGAGGCGATTTCTTTAGGGAGAGATTAAAGGGGGCTCGAAGATTTCTTGAGTGAGTTGGGAGGTTGGTTGTAAAGCATTCAAGTGATCTTGGGTCCGGGATATTAGACTTGTTAATCTTGCCTTCCTTGGTAGGTGGCGTTGGAAAGAGCTTCAAGGATGTTCGTCTCTCTAGTGATAGATTTTGATGGTGATGTATGGAATGGGTGTTGTAGTTTCCCCTTTAGAGGTCTTGCGAGGGTTTTAAGGGGAGTATCTTTGTGGTGATGATATGTTTCGTTGTTGGGTTCCAAAGGTTATAATGTTTCCGACTAGTTCAGGGAGGGTGTTATGGTTATTATAGGTAATAGTCTTCAAACCAAGTTTTGGTATGATTAGTGGGTTAGGCCAAATTCCATTGGTGTGTATTTTAGGATTTTGTTTATGATCTCGGAGCAAAAGAATCAGCTTGTTAATCTTATGGGGTGTGGGTAAAGGGTGTGAGATTTCAAGTGGGTGTGCGGTTTATTGGTTTGGCAAGAGGAACTTGTAGCTAGATTGTTTCTTTCCATGGCAAGTAAGGTAAAGATTACACAAGAGGATTATTGGGCTTGTAAGTTAGATGTCAACTGTGATTTTTATTTGAAGTCGATTGCTTGCTAAGTTGTCTGAGTGAGAGGACCTTATATCGGTCATAGTGGTTTAGATGTTAGCTTCAAGGTGGAAGAGTTAAGTCTCATCTAAAGTAGTTGTTTTCTCTTTTAAGATGCTTCAGGATAGGATCCATTATAAAGTGAATATTTTAAAGCTTATGGTGATTACCAATCCCTTTGTGTCTTATGGTGGATCAATTGTTTTTATGTATATCTTGTTGAGGCCGTTTGGTTTATAGTCTTGAGTTGGGTTGGCTTTGCTACAGTCTTACTAAGGTCAATTGTTGGGTTATTATAGATGATTGGGTGGTTCAAAGGGGTATAAGTGTGTTAGTCTGGGTCTTACTTCAATTTGGCATGCAGTGATCCGGATAATTTAGAAATCTCGTAACAAATTTATTTTTTCCTCAAAAAACTTGATTGTTGATCATGGTGTAAGCACAATCATAATCGCTTGTGAAAGTGGATTCAACCCAGAATTGCACGTCTCTCTATCTCTTTTAGAGATTGGGAACTGAATCTGCTTGTTTTCTTGGGAAGATAGCATTGTGATGGGTTTCTGAATGTTATCTTTGAGCTCAACAGTGATCTTTTCATCCTTCTCTCAGCTTTATGGTTTGAGGGTTGCTTTCTATGGATGGCTCTCTCTGATTGCTTGAGTGATTTTGGCATTTGTGTGCCCTTTGTTGGGGTACCTGGTTGTGTTGGTGTTGCCCTTTTTTCGTGTGTGTTGTTGAATGGTGGTATACATGTGGTTTTTGTACATGTTGTTCTATTGTTTCCTTGTGGTTGGTTTGGTACATCTTGTATATATGGCCTTTTTACTTGATTTGTACTTTGCAAACTCTATTGTTCCTTTCTTTCTTTATTTATATTTATATGTTATATTTTCATTCAAAAAAACATTAAAAAATTAATAAAGGAAAATTGATGAATAGAATAGGAAAAACAAAAGGATGGAGGCATAAAACCTTACTCGTAAAACAGTTAGCAAAAACGATAGTTAGACATGTCCAACATATCCCTCAAAAAGCATTCAAAAGAAAAAATAGGAAACAAATTCTAACAATTGTCATAATCATCAAATAACTCGCATTGGCTAATATATTTGCACATGCATTCCTCTCTCTAAAAATATGAGATATCTTAAATCTAAAGGAACGGATACTGTGTAAAGTATTCTTCCATTTAATCAAAAGATGTCAAAGAACAATATTAACATTATAAAATGCGTGAATGGCTAACATTGAGTCTGTTTCAAGCCAAATATTTCTCCAACTCCTCTTGTTATCACATTCGATATCAAGCATGATTACATGTAATTCAACTTGAAAGGATGTGCAAACTTCAATTTTAGATGAGAAAGCTCCCAAGAATGTTCCTAAATTTTCTCTGAATATGCCACCACAAGTTTTACACTAGGATTTATTCCTGAAGCTCCATCTGTATTGCACTTAATCCAATGATCACTAGAAAAATACCAATTAACTTGAATGATTCTAGGTGTAGGAAAAGGTCGACATTTGATATCAAAGAATTTAATAATTGTAAAATTGTGAATTGAATAATACATGTTCCCCTTGAAAGAAGTAAATGTCAAATAAATCAATTATTTAACATTAAGAATGTCTTTATCAATGTCAACTTTAAAATTTCAAAACCTGATATCATTTCTTGTGTGCCAAGTTTTCCAAAGAATTATTATACGAGATCATGATCTGGTTCTAAGTTTGAGAGCTTCAACATCTACCAGCACGTTTGAATAAGCTTTCATAACTAGTTATATTAATGTTCGTGCCAAACAGTTGACCTATCCATTCCAGAAAAGTAAGGTGTACATGAATTTAAGAAATAAGTAGTCTACGGTTTCCACATCATGCATAAGCTAACAATTTTTCTTCGAAACCATATGAATTCCACTTTGAAACAATTTTTGTTCTGTTGTAGTAACATTATGCATAAGCTAACGAGTAACTAATAAATTAGCAAGAGGTGTGTAGGTATGTCAGATGAACTTTGTTCAATAATACTCAATGTGATCCGCCCTGATACAGTTGTAGGCATCTTTAAAAGATAAACCACCATTTCTAAATTTTGTTCAAATGAGTCCATCAGTAGTATTATTATAAAATGACAAGTTGATCTTTAAAATGTCTTTATCAATTTGAGAAGCCATAATTAATGTTCCAATTAACGTCTTGGATAATTTAACCGACAATAGCAGTTTGTATACATTGAATATCCATTGGCAATAGTAGGTGTAAAAATTTTATTTTGTATCCCAACCAATTGTTAATCCATAAATAAATGAAATTCTCATTACCAACATGTCATCTACTAT